CAGTTCCACCACCCTCCCTCCTTTTCCTCCTTCCTCCAGGACCCTTGGAAAACCAAAGGGATGTTCCATACCCTAAGACATCCTGCTCAGTCTACAAAGCAGGAGAAGAGGGAGGAAGGAAGAGAGGAAGGAAGAGAGGAAGAAAGGGAGAGAGGAAGGAAGAGAGGAAGGAAGGAAGAGAGGAAGAAAGAGGAAGAAAGGGAGGGAGGAAGGAAGGAAAGGAGGGAGGGAAGGAAGGAGGGAGGAAGAAATGAAGAGAGGAAGAAAGAGGAAGAAAGGGAGAGAGGGAGGAAGGAAAGAAGGGAGGGAAGGAAGGAAGGAGGAAGAAATGAAGGGAGGAAGAAAGAGGAAGAAAGGGAGGGAGGAAGCAAAGGAGGGAAGAAAGGAAGGAATGAGGAAGAAAGTGAATTTGGGAATGTCCTCCTGGTCCTTAGCTCAGCCCAAACAGATTTGTTCTCTCTCCTCCCTCCAGGCATCTACCTCAACCTCGGATGGGATGTTGACCCTCGACCTGATCCAGGAGGAGGAAACCTCTGCAGAGGATCACAGCACGTGTGAGGAGAATTTCCGTGTGGACCTGGATAAATCCGTGGCTCATCTCACTGCCGGGAGACGCCGAGCGGACTCGGAGAGCACCAAACCCTTGGAAAAGGAGAGGACAGGGAGTCTCCCGAGGCAGGATTTGACCTCATGGGTCAGAGCTGGGCAAGGCAAGGACTCCTTGGATAAAGGGACCATGTACACACCACAGGTGCCCAAAAAATTGTCACCTATGGAAAAGAACAAATGTGCCTCCATGGAGGAGATCTTATCCCGTCGGGATTCCTCCGCTCCCCGCGCGCCGCTCCGGAAAGGGCTGGAAATACAGTTTGTCTCTGCAGAACCAGAGCAGCTTTCCAGGCTCCAGGAATTGGTTGCACTGAAACTGGAAAAAACTCAGGAATTGCTGACAGAGGTTCAAGGCTATGGGGAAGGCAAGAGAAAACCTAAGGACATCAACACCAACGTCACCAGTACCACCAGCAGCAGCACCACTAGCACCACCTCATCTTCCTCGGCCTCTTCCAAGTTGGACTCGGAGAGGATTCTACAGGAATCTGAGAGGTTGTTGGGAGAGGCTTCATCCACCTGGAGCCAAGCCAAGAGGGTGTTGCAGGAGATCCGAGAGCTGAGGGACCTGTACAAACAGTTTGAGCTGCCACAATCAGACTCAAAGGCCAAACAGAGCTCACAGTCCCAATTCAGGAAGAGCATGATGTGAAGGGAAACCTTGGGAATGGGAAGGGAGGGATTGGGGGAGGGAAACCAGCTGGGGTTTTGGGGTTATTTTTTTTTTTTTTTGGGTTTTTATGATGCTTTCCAGTGGTCAGAAGAGGGTGAGGTGCCTGTTCTCCCCCAGATTTGCTTCTCCAAGCTTTGGCCCTTCCTCTCCTCCATCCATCGCTGCCTCTCCTCATGGATCAACCCTGTGCTCCAATAAATCAGTTTCACTCCTCATCTCCTATGTCAGAGCTGCCTTTGCTCCACAGGGTGACACTGCTGGAGGGTGGGAGAGAGAGAAAAGGGTCTAGGAGCTGTCCCTGCCTCCCTGGAGCTGCCCCAGGGCAGGACAAACCTTGGCTTGATGCTCTCAGGTCTGTCCCACATCACAGC